AATCACATGAAAAATGGCACACAATGGGCAAGAGAAGCAAGGTTATAATGAGGAGACATTTCATCGAACACATTGTAGGCACAAGGAAGATAAGCTACAAATGCAATAATGCAAGAGATACCCAACAACCCATAACAACACCATCTACCCAGCATACCAAAAACACCCAAGCCTAAATGAACCAAATGGCGAAGAGAAAAACAAAAAATAACCAACAAACAAAATGAAAAATCAAGGCACTTACCAAAAGGGAGTAATGAATCACCAAGCAATGCACACAAGGAAGGAGAATGGAAGCTCCACACGTGAGAAATCAATGGCAAATCGACCAAAGAGTGGCGATTTGAGAGAAAAAACAAGGGAGAGATGGGAAGAAATGAAAAAAAAAGAGACGGAACCCGCGCAAGAAAATTAAAAGTCTCACTGTCACTCGAGCGAACAGCGAGCAACAAAGGCATTGCTTCAGTCACTTGAGCGAGCTCCCAACGACAAGCGAGCAATAGGAAAATGAAAAAAATAGCACCTAAACTTGAAAATTTGAAAAGTTAGGCCCAAATTTAAAACTTTGCAAAGTAACAGCACTTTAGAAATTTTCAAAAATAGCACCTTTTTCAGAAATTTGAATTTAGACCCCAATTTATTTTATTTTATTTTATTTTGTTTTTAGATTTAAAATACACGAACAATGCGGAGGCAGTTGGTCCAACAAAGGTAAAAAATCACAAATACGACATGCAAAGTGATTAGAAAACGTTTCCCCACACACCGGGACTAAGTACAGGTGGAGTAAATTGTATATGTGACCCCTCGTGAAACGTGCCACTCATTTCAAGCAAGTAAGACTCAAAACCTTAAATTTGTGAGAAGAGACAGCCAAATCACCGACGTAGAAGTCAACACTTAGATGTTTGAAGGTCAAATCCAATGCCACTAGGACCTATACTTCGTTAAAATATGGTGTAAAACTGTTCTTTCTCCCCTTGTCATTAAGGACTTCAATTTTTTTTTTTTGGGTTATCTTACGTGCAATCCCAGCTACGAAGAAGACCCCTTTAACGAGCGTTGGGTCGGTGACTCCCAAACCAGTTGGCTTTAGGGCACCAAATTATGAGAAACCCCTCAGACTTAATTGCTTGAGTCATCTAGGCTCCGAAGATAGGTATAAGATGTGATATAATAAATAGTCTGTGAAAACACTCGGGGGTACACCGGAACTTAAGGTCATCTAGTCCAAGATCAATTCAAATCCAATGTCTACTCAACGACAGATGATAGTCATCCCAAGTCTCACACACGCGGTCAAGACTCACTCACAGGGTCCTAGTGTGTGTTGTGCAAATATAATATGAAGTGACATATACTAAGTACTCCATACAGACACAGGATAAGTGATGAGAATTAGAAACTAATCATGTGTAGAATGCACATTTGATTTCAAATTGCAACTCCGAGCGAACAACTACAATGCAAAAATGACATGTGATGACCAATCCCCCCATTTTTTTATTATCATTTTATATTTACTGTTTTTTTTTATATTTATTTTTTTGTTTATTTATATAGAAAAAAGAAAAACAGATGCAAATGAACACAAAAGTAACGTAATGAATGCAGAAAAGAATGCATGCATCTATGAAGACGATTAGGGAGGAACACAAATGCCAACAGTCTTCCTAAGTGACTCGAATCTAAACCCATCTAGAGGTTTAGTGACCAGATCGACAAGTTGATTTTCAGTAGAGATGTATTCAAGAGATAGCAAATTAGACTCAACTAACTCTCGAATAAAGTAATGGCGAATGTCAATGTGTTTGGTCCTAGAATGTTGAATCGGATTTTTTGATATGTTGATAGCACTAGTATTGTCACAAAAAACAGTCATAGCACCCTGATTTATTCCATAGTCACTCAACATTTGTTTCATCCAAAGCAGTTGAGTGCAACAGCTACCAGCTGCAATGTATTCTGCCTCGACTATGGACAAGGAGACTGAGTTTTGTTTTTTACTCATCCATGAGACAAGATTAGAACTAACATAGAAACATCCACCCGAGGTATTTTTTCTATTGTCGGCGTTTCCAGCCCAATTGACATCAGAATAGTCGGCTAGTTCTAGATTGGACTCTCTGGAATACAATATTCCATGATCTACTGTCCCATCGACATATCTAATAATGTGCCTCACTGCACTTAGATGGAACTTCTTAGGATCAGCTTGAAATCTAGCACATACAACAACACTAAACGGTATATCAGGTCTATTGGTTGTAAGATATAGTAAACTGTCTATCATGTTTCTATACACAGTCTGATCAACACTCTTACTTGTAGGATCATGTCCTAACTTAACATTTGTGCTCATGTGTATCCTTGTGTGTTTCTTTCTATCCAAACCAAATCTCTTCACAAGGTCTTTGGCATATTTTGATTGAGAGATAAACAGCCCACAATCAGTTTGCTTTACTTGAAGACCAAGGAAGTAACTTAGCTCTCCAATCGTGCTCATTTCAAATTCTTGTTTCATGCATTCAGCAAATTCAAGAGCAAGGGAGTCAATGGAAGAGCCAAAGATGATGTCATCGATATAGATCTAAGCTATAGTGATAGTTTCTTCAACATGTCTAATGAATAAGGTTCTGTAAGCACCACCTCGTGAGAACCCATGCCCAATGAAGAAAGTGGTGAGTCTATCATACCAAGCTCTAGGAGCTTGTTTCAGGCCGTACAATGCTTTATTTAGTTTGTAGACATAATCAGGAAACTTAGGATCAATGAATCCTTTCGGTTGTTCAACATACGCCTCTTCTTGGAGTATTCCATTCAAGAATGCACTCTTGACATCCATTTGATATAGCTTGAACCCTAAGGTACATGCAACCGCAAGAAGAATACGAATGGACTCAAGACGAGCAACTGGTGCAAAAGTCTCATCAAAATCTACGCCTTCCACCTGAGTGTACCCCTGGGCAACTAGTCTAGCCTTATTTCTAGTTATAGTACCTTGGTCATCGGTTTTGTTCTTGAAAATCCACTTAGTACCTATTACATTAGAGTCATTAGGCCTAGGCACTAGATTCCAAACATTATTTCGAACAATTGATTAAGCTCCTCATGCATGGCATTCACCCAGCATTCATCTCTAAGGGCTTCCTCTACTTTCTTAGGTTCTATCTGGGATACATAGCTAGTATATGTTAGGTTATTTAGAACTCTCGTTCGTAACCGAACTCTCTTTCGTAACCTCATACCTTCATCCAAATCCCCGATAATGTTAACCTTAGGATGATTAGATTTGACCCTGGAAGATGGTTCTCTGGGAAGCTTAGACAGATCCCAATTTGGTAGACACTACTCAGATATGCTTTTTGAGGAGCGTGGAGATTTTGGAATTGATTGTTTTTTATTTTTAGCAGTGGCTCCCTGATCTTCACTTAGATCTTCTATGTCAACCCCATTTTCAGCACTCTCCTCCTCAGTAAAGGCATCATCAATAACAACATTTACAGATTCCAAGACACTTAGAGTACGCACGTTGTAAACTCGGTATGCTCTACTGTTCTTAGAATATCCTAGAAGAATCCCATCATCACTTTTGGAATCAAACTTGCCTAGATTTTCTCTATCCTTCAGAATGTAACACTTGCTGTCAACACCCGAAATTATTTAGCAGTAGGCTTCTTGCCTTTCTAGATCTCATGGGGAGTCTTGTCTGATTTCGGTCTCAAGTATACCCTATTTACTATGTGGCACGCGGTGTTAATAGCTTCACCCCGGAAATGCATTGCTAGATCCTTGCCGTGAAGCATGGCCCTAGCTATTTCTTGAAGCACTCTATTCTTCATCTCAACAACTCCATTTTGCTGTGGAGTGATTGGTGATGAGAGCTCATGCTTAATCCCCTCCTCCAAGTAGAAGTTTTCTAGGTTGAAGTTTTCAAATTCTTTTCCATGATCACTTCGAACCCTAGAAATAGGAAGATTTTGTTCAACTTTGAGTCTTTTGCATAAGGACTTAACTAGATCACCCGTCTCAGATTTTTCTCTTAACAGATCAATCTAGGTGCATCTAGAAAAATCATCTACTACAACCAGGATATACCGTTTCCCTCATAGGCTCTCTACCTTAGATGGTTCCATTAAATCCATGTGAAGAAGCTCTAGGGGTCTATTCGTCAAGATTTTCGAGGTTCGCTTATGGTTTATCCTGAGTTGCTTTCCTTGTTGACATAGCTTGCACACAGCATTTTCACTTTGATCAATCTTAGGTAAACCATCGACAATCTTCTTTTTGATCAATTTAGATAGACTTCTGTAGTTAACATGACCGAGCCTTTGATGCCAAAGTTCAGACATATCAATTTTAGCACTACTGCATACATAATTTGAGTTTGGAAGAACTCCATAATAGTAATTAGATATTCTAACACCTTCAAGAACAACACCACCAGAAGCGTCATAAACAGTGCATCTCTTTTGGACAAAACTCACTTCATAGTCAGCATCGCAAATTCGACTAATGCTTAATAAGTTTGACTTAAGACCCTCTACATAAAGTACATTGGATATTGTAGGAAGTCCAGCAATGGCGATGGAGCCTTTACGTCGGATGGGTACTGTAGCTCTGTCCCCAAAGGTAACTACACCACCGTTGCAGTCATCAAAGGTAGAGAATAAGACCTTGTTACCATACATGTGTCTAGAACAAGCACTATCAAGATACCATATGCATGTATTTTGAGCCTTATAGGCAAAATGAGCAACAAAACATTTTAGACTCTCAGTATACTTACCCACATCAGATTTCTTTACCCAAACTTTTCTCGAGGTCGAGGTGATCCTAGTCAACCTTGTGACCATCTCAGTTAAGTGGCTAACCTGATTTGAAAGGAAGTTCACTTGACTAGGGATATCTTGACCTCTATTGCTATTTACTAGCTTTCGACACCTAGGTCCCGTGTGGCCTAAGGCACCACAATGATAACAAGTGGGTATGAACCTAGGTTAAGATGTACGTGAGTATTGATTATGAAAATTAGGTGTAGAAATCTTATGAGCTCTAGTCGCCTTCAGTCCATTAAAATTTTTGTCTTTGGATTCTGGATTTGCTGAAACATTGGATTTGTTGGAAGCGGGGACAAATGTGGTCTTTGATAAACTAGACACATTGCTATCACTCTTCACAAATTCTAGACCTTGCTTATTTCCAGCTGGTTTGTTCATTCCTAACAGATCGTCTAGTTTCTTAGTTCCACTCACAAATGATTGTAGTTGAGTGTTGGATTTCTCTAATTCACAGGTCAGTGTCTTGACCCTGTCCTCTAATTTCTCATTGACACACTTTAACTCACTGAGATTCTTAGATGAGACTTGAAGATCATAGGTGATTTTCTCCTTCTTTCTCTCAAGCTCGTCTACCTTTTTAAATAGGGCGTTATTTATTTTTTGATCTTGAGACTTTCCTTAAACAAAAATTGATAAGCCTCATGTATATCCGTCTCATCCTCCAAATCATCATCGGGGACTTGTTACTCTCTACTTCCTCCACGACCTTCTCACTCTCCTTATCTGACTCGCTCTTGATAGTAGATACAAAGGCCATATAGCCCTTTTCCTCCTCACTGCTTGAGGAATCACTTTGTTCACTTAAATTAGAATCATCATCAGTCAAGGACACAGTTAATGCCTTCCTACTCCCCTTCTTTAGATTTTTCTTAAAGCTAGGGCATTCATTTGTATAGTGCCCAAATCCCTGACACTCATGACACCTAACCCCTTGAGATTTCTTACCAGGGTTCCCAGCAGTTGATTTATCATCCTTCTCTATTTGCAATTTACTAGGGACTCCTCTCCTTTTCTCTTGAGGCCATTTTTTGCCCTTTAAGACTTTTTGGAATTTTTTCACAAAGTAAGCAATCTCCTCATCTTTAAGAGTTTCCATGTCAAAGGACTCGAACTCCCCTTCCCTAACAGTGTTCAGGGCTATGGACTTGTTTTTCCTTGGTTGTGAAATGGCGAGTTCATAGATTTGAAGGGATCCTACGAGTTCTTCTATCTTAATTGTATCTAGATCCTTGCTTTCTTCAATAGCTGTAACTTTAGGTCTAAATCTCTCGGGCAAGGATCTAAGAACCTTTCTCACAATTTTGGGCTCGGGAATCCTTTCACCTAGGTTGAAACTAGAGTTAACAATGTCATTCAATTTGGCATAGAACTCATCAAAAGATTCATCATCCTTCATCCTGATTTCTTCAAACCTTGAGGTTAGCATTTGCAATTTTGAATTTTTTACAGTTTTAGTTCCCTCATGCGTAGTCTCTAGAATGTCCCATGCCTCTTTTGTAGTTTCACACATTGATACTCTCCTAAATTCTTCGAGAGACACGGACATAAACAAGGCGTGCAATCATCTAATTCTTCCTTAGTCCAAAGTGAAATACCAGTTAGATTGACAACACCTGACACAGTTGTAGAAAGAGGTTTCCAACCATTTTGTATGCTCACCCAAACACGTTCATCTAAGGACTTAAGAAAAGCACGCATCCTAACCTTCCAGTAGGCATAGTTGCTTCCGTCAAAATATGGCGGCACAGACAGTGATTGACTCATCTAAACAACAATGGGTCAGGACTCGAGTTTTGGCGCTGATACCACTTGAAATATCGTAGTTCGACCCAATCAACACCTAGAGGAGGGTGTGAATAGGTGTTTATGTGGAATTTTCTTTTTCAATCAATTAATGATTGCAACACGTCAAAAAAATTAATTTGTCCACATCAGTTCACATGCTTTACTATTCTATGTTTGAATACCGATCATAAATTAATTGCAGAAAGATAAATAACATAATTGTTTGATGATGGAGAAATCCCAATGTGAGTAAAACTAAGGGCCCAAGCTAGTAGGAATCCACTATAAACGTAAATGAAACTTACAATGAGTCAGACTTAACCTACACTGATTTTTCTGACATCCTGACCATAGTTTCCTCAAGGCCTTCTTGGAATGCGTGATCCCGCACCAATTCTCGGCACCTAGCCCTCCTGAATTACGTGCTATACCAATTCCCGAGTCTTGATTTTGTCTATCTCATATGGATTCAAGAGAACCGCCTGTTCTCTAATGATCGAACTCCGATCTCCTTCCTCGATCTCCAATAATCAACAAAGGCACTAAAAGATTGTGTTGTGGTGTTTGGTGAATGTTGATTTGATATTTTTCATGTAATTAATCAAATCAAATATGGGGTTGAATAAGAAAGTTAAAGTGTATGAGAGTTTTCTTCAATTTCAATACCTTGAAAGCACATCTCAAAATCGGAGCAATTTTTCTCATGTATGTGTATTTTGATATTTCTGGTCGGGTTGAAATGTCGAAAAAATGAAAATAAGATTTTATGGGTAACACTGTCACTTGAGCGAAAAGCGAGCGACAAGGGAGCAACACTGTCTCGCTCGAGCGAAATGAGGACGAGAAGCGAGCGATGACCATTTTGTTTTTGTCGCTCAAGCAACCACTTGGTGAGCAACTGGCAAAACTTTTATGACACATCTTGCCCTACTTTATAGCTTGAACCCTAGCACACTTTGCCAAAATTGCAACCGAGTCCCTCATATTTTACACATGTACACAATGACCTTTAATAATTGACAAATTTACCCCAAACTTTTGAGCATTTACAATTGTACCCTTTTGTTCACAGAATAGCCAACACAAAATCTAACACATGGCATGAAAGTCAAAAGGGATGCCAACTACATTGATTAAAGAATGCTGACTTTCTTCTTACAATAATAAGAGAGAAGGTTTTTTTTCATGGATGGTAGCGGAGAAGAAAGCAGCAAATGACTGCTCAATGCTGAGTAAGAGTCGTGTAGTCCAACTAAGAACTTCATCACATAATCTGCTTATTGGCAATCAACAAGATTCTTTAGAATATTACAAGTATCTAGAATTCCACAACAACAAGTAGGAAGATGACGGTAACTGATATATTCATCCCAATGAGTTTTGAAATTGTTAAAATACCCAGTGATAGACTTTGAGCCTAGAGAAATAGAACTTAGAAACTTCTACAAGGAAAATACAGGTGGGCCATCACTGTGAAGGTACTGAACTCGAAGTTTATCTCAGTTATTAAAGGCATTGGTAAAATAGAGAAAGCTATCACAAATTTCTTTTGCGATGGAGTTCATCAGTCACGACAACACAAGATATGTTTGCTCGCAGCCAAGCTGAAGAAAAGCATTATTAGGACCAGGTTGAGGTAAATTGCTATCAATGAAGGCAATCGTAGCCCTTGTTTGAGCCCCATTCTTTGGAAAATAAATGCATTCTTAAATAGTATTTTGACATCATTTCAACTACACATTTTTCAATAAAATAATATTACACGCAAATCCAAAACTTTTCTTAACCATACATTTACCATCAATACACTATTCAAAAATACATTTTCCATCAAAATGGGCTTAAACAAAGGCTTATTCTTCACAGTTAAGGAAATGCTGATTGAGTGACTCGAAGCAACATAGTTTTCATTGGTAAAGATTGTAGACCACGATAGCACCATGATTGCAACCGAGATGAAGATAGTAGGGGTTCGAAGAATCATCAGAAGGATTCACCATGCATTTGTGAAGAATCAGAAAAGAAAGAAGCATAAATGTAAAGCTAACTTTGATACTACGTAAAATACTCTAATCTGGAATTGAAGAGCAGCAAATCAAAGAAGAAATTTGAGAGAAAATCAATATGATTTCTTAATAATGATTGGAAAAATTGAATTGATAGCTGGTATACAAAGTCTAGTATTTATAGACACATAATGGCCAACTAAACTAAAAAAACATTAATGTGTGCAGATTTCAACACACTTGGCCAACTATCAAAACTAACTAACAAACTCCAGCTAAAATAACTATGAACGGATTTCAGCAGTAATAGAATTCAGAGTTAGGTTTATTTTCTTGGCTTCTCAAGCCTTCATTTCCAAGGCTTATATAAGATTGTGAGTTCCAACAATATAAAATTTGCTTGCCGTTGATTATGAAGGGTTGAATACCATAAATATAAAGAACATTTTTTCAGTCCAAAAAATGCATCTATAAAAGCACTATAAACCTGCCAAAAGATAGCCTTGATGATGCTTCTCTGAGTTTTTCAACAACTTTTACATAAGGTTCTTCCCTTGCATTGGTAGCAAAAGAGATTTTCGTACTTTCTTTGCTCAAGTGTAGAGCATTGACCTTCAGAATTAAATTAGATTGTTTGTGCAAATTGATGTGTGTGGATTAAGTCGAACACTTCATTAATAATAGCTACTTAGGGATGATATCGTCTAGGCCCCAACTCGCCCAAATATTGAGTAGCAGCCGATTGTCTAGCTCAGAAATGCCCTTGTTAGCCGAAAAACAAAATTAAAAAAAAAAAAATCAATATTAATGTACAAGCAAGATAATTGTTCATTTCTTCAACTTTGTCACGATAAGTTCAATGAACCTTTTAAATTACAGCAAAATTCAACCAAAAAGTACACACACTATGAATCAAGCTGGGCATACCAAATCCCTTGAATTTTCACTTCCATAAAGGCCTTTGATCCCAAATCAATATCAGATGGTCGAATGCTATCAAATACTCCAATTACTTCACCAATGTTAGACTTGCTTTTGGTAACACTTAAGGTGATCTTTCCTGTTGAAGATGAAACATTCTTGATGTTCTCCTTCAAGAGTTCTTCCTCGTCTCCCTTGTTAAACGCGATGCAATCTTATTATGCAATTTCAATGAAATAGACTATAGTTTGTCAAGATTCCTTACAAAACTTGTAACGACTCAATCTCTATGCTCAAACCGTTATTAAAGAAACATAAATTAATCTAACCTTCCACAAGCAGGCAATGCAACTACATTATCATAACCGTAGATCCACCCCATCCTTTTGGGTTAAGAAAAGATGAATCTGGGTAGGATGGTACGAGGAACTCCCATTCAAGCTATCAGACTTGTCGAATGCTACAAGCTGCTTTATGGTGAAAAGAAATAGCACACGCTTGTCCCCGAGAAGTTGTACCATAACTGTAGCATAGTCAATTCCATCTTTCTCCTCAAACTTGATAGTTCCATCTTGTGAAACCTCAAAGGGTCCTTCAATCTCATCAAGAGTGTAGGTTAAACGGGTCATTAGCTTTGTTTTTTGGAATTCGGGTGGGGCATTCTTGATTTCACTCTCTGCTTTGATAGTGAATGAAGTAGGCTCTAAGCATAACTTCTTGGCATTGTATTTCCTTGGTTTGAAGGCAAAACTGTCAACACCTCCATCGATGGCTGCACATTGGTTAGCAGTTCCACTTCCCTTCACCTTTAGATAGGTCTTGCTTTGAATTTCGTCATAAGTTAGCCGTTTTGGAACTCCTTCAGCATTTGCTCCCTAAAAATATAAAAGCTTGCACGTGAGAGAGCATGTTAATGACTGAATTTAAAGAAATAATTATGTCCATCGCCCATTATTGAAGTTCTATTATTAATTTCTTTCAGTGGTCCCTTATTTTTACTCTTCAAGTTTATGCCCATATTCATGTTGTAATAAGTTGTTCCCGTATCATTAGAGGTGAGCATGGATTGGGTTGGGTCGATTTTTACCCCAACCAAAAACCAATCCAACATAGTCGATTTGATATAAAATCAACCCAACCCAGGTAAATATTGAAACCCAACCCAATCAAGTGTTGGTCTGGTCGGGTTGATCGGCTTGGGCAAAGTGTAATTTATTACCATATATTTAAACAAAATCAACACGTCATCCAAATTACTAATTGCAACAAATTTGACATGCATGCATGAGTCATGAAAGGGAAGATATTAAAATGCTTACCTCACAAAAGGCCAGTGATCAATGGGCTGGGAACTCATTAACTTCAGCATCACTTGCCAAGTACGATCAGGTTTGGTGTAATTAAAATGTGATTGCCTTGCAATTATAACCTATTACAATCAAACAAGGATTAGATATTCTATTCACATGCATAAAAAACTGGGGGAAGCAGCGAGCGTACAACTTGCTGCCTTTCTTTATTTTTGAGAGACATGGAGAAATGCTTTAAGTTGATCATGGTGCAGGAAGCAAATTATATTCACCTCAATAAAAAGAAAGAGTTAGTTATAGATCACTTGAAATGAAGGAAAAATATAGCAAAGCAAACAAAACAATGCTTCCAGTGAGTTTCCCAGTTGATAAATAACAAAAATCATAGCAATGATTTACAAAATTACACATGATTTTGGAATAGTCGACTAATATTAAACAACAAAGGAAAAGATCCCACTCAAGATGGGGTGCATTTCTAGAGGAAAAACATTCCATTTCTAGAGGAAAAACATGTAGATATTATGATCTGATGGTGCCGCTGTGTCATTTTCTTCACACATATCTACATCTAAATTACAGAAATGGGATAAAAATCATTTGATTCAACCATACACAAAAAAAAAAAAAGCAAACTTGTATGAATATGAAAAATGTACTGGATTCATAGGTCAGAGTGAAGGGAATTTAACAATAGAGATACTGTTTCAATTTAGGAGTTCAGAAGCTTCAATTAAATGCT